ATTTAATCATAAAATTTACGTGATTAATCAATTATGATTTAATAAATTTAATCAAATGTTTTCAGTCAATTTCAAAATAGTTAGGCATTTTTAAGGTGTAGCTAATTTGAAGAATCCTAAAAAAAGTTACAAATAAATTGATTCATATCAGTTGGATTAAACTATTCATCTCTAGTAGTAGTAGTAACTCTACGCTCTGCTAAATATTCAATCAAATTCAAGCTTTTTTTTTATTTTGTTTAAACTTATTTCAAAAATTTACTACAAAAAAGAACAAAAATAAGGTGAAAAGGATGACAAATACATAAGTTTGACGTTGACGTTTAGTGAAGCAGTTGATGGAAATGTATAATACTATCAAACAAATAAACTAGAGCGAGAGAGAGGGAAAGAGAATGAAAGAATTCGATAGCATCGAATTGTGTGAGATGAATCGATGAATAGATCTAGATGATGTTGTAAAAGAAAGCTGAGGAAGGCTTGCTCTCTCTTGGTTGCTTATTATATCCAGAAATAGTCGTTGAATGTCAGCGGAACCCTCATTTCACTCCAGAAGGTTCGTCATTTTATTGATTATTATGTTTTATTTTCCAGTCAATTATGAGATTTATTCATCAAATTAACGTTGTAAAAATTTTGATTTTTTTTCATCTTTCCTTTTCATAAATTAAATATTAACTAGATATAATTAATTAAATAAAATTTCTTTCTCCTATATTTGGGGTAAAGTTTGGAAATAATATCAAATCACGCATCGTCTTTTAGAGAATAATTAAAATGTGAGTGTATTTAATGCAACAATAAAATGAAGTAGAATTGTAAGTAGATAAAAGGTTTTGTTTCTTTGCTGTGACAAATATAATAGAGAAATTGGTGCCGCTACTGCTAATTTTGTTGTGCAATTTGATACTGTTAGAATGGAGTTCTAACAATTTTATTTTATTGAAAGAAAAAAGATTTCGAAAGATCTCTAACTTCATTCGGCTATTTATGTAAATTTGATACCCATTTATTTAACCTATTCTTCATTAATTTTTAGTTTTTAGTTATTTTTAGTTTTTCGTATGAGTTAAATTTTTTGTATTGCATTCTTTACAATTAAATTTTGACTAAAAGCAAATTGAAACTGGAATTGGGTAACTTAATATTTTACATTGTGCAACTTAGTATGGTATTTTAGGATATAATTTATGATGATATTTAGCAACTTAATGTGAAATCATGATAGATATCTGTCGTTAACATATATTAAATTCATTTTGTTTTGAATATATGACAGAGGATCACTAATCGAAATTCGATTTTTAAGGAGCAGTTATATTTACTGGACAGATTTTAGACTGGAGCTTTGTCAGCTGATTTAAGCAAGTTGAAATTGTTTGTAATTCCATAAAATTATTGGATTTTTCATCCCTAAAGCAGCCCAACAACTAATAATTAACATTCTTTGATTGTTTGTCATTCAATGCTTCGAGAAAAGTCACTCTGTTTGATGCATTTTCAATGATATTTGAGTGAAAGGGAAATTGCAAGTATTTCATATTTCGTCCATTTTATTCGAGTTGTTAGTGACAGTTTTTTTTTTTTTTTTTTTAAGCAAGCAAAGATGATGTGAATTAGAGATTGAGAGAATATAAAATACTGGTGTGATGAGATAGATAAAGTGAACATTTATTAGACGTGAGACTGTTATGAGTTATGATATGTAAGTATGATCAAAGAAGTATGCAATGAAAGAAGTTTTATGTGTGCAGTATAATACTGATCAATTTATTAGATTACATGGAAGAAATTGGATATTTGCATATAATGAGCTATAGTCTCTTAAAATTTAATAAAATTTAAATGGTATATTTTCAGGCGACAGCGAACTTTTTCGGAAGAAGAATCCCCACTGTCAGGATGGAAGCTTGGAGTTGTTATCGGAGTAATAATCATGTGTTTTGCAATGCTTTATCCGAGTATGCTTCATCCATTAATATCTTCATTTTTTCGGTCTCCACCAGCACGGAAAACAGTAACAAATCGACCACCAATTCATCCGGCCATGAGTTCGCCACGATCTCATCCTGATTTACATCCAGATATGTTACATATAGATCTTCATTTTTATTGTTTTTCTAGTAGTTTTAGGAGTAATTTTACTTTCGGAATAATAAATTCTGTTTGATTTATTGGGATGAGAAAAAATACAAAAACAAACATTTTCACAACGAACAAAATTAATGAATCATGGAATGTTCAATAGGAAAATTTTAGATCGTTTCAAAGGAAAAAAAATTTCATTTATAGGCATGCGAGTGGCAACAAGTCAACCAGACATAACTACACCATCTTCCTCATCCAAAGGAATGTTTGCATGGATGCTTCCTATTTATACAATTGGCGTCGTTGCATTCCTTATTTATACCCTAGTTAAGGTAATTTTTCGTGTAACATAAATATGTTGAATAATATACTTCTTAAGTAATGTAATTATTTCCTAATAGTGCAAATAAATAATTGATTTTTTAAATTCTTTATAGTGTCAGGAAGAATTATCTCAATAATACAAGTGATTTCCCAACTAATACAAACAACTTGTATTAATAAATTCTCGAGTTACGTAATTCTTTTCTGTTTGGACAAAGTTAAAACCCGAATATCATTATTGATCACAAGCATTACAAAATGGGATTTATTAGTAAAGATGAATTATTTTCTTTTTCACTGTTCTAACTTTCGTGTCCTTTCTATCTTTTGGAAACACGATGCTTCCACGTTCCATTTTTTAAAAATATTTTTGAAAAAATTCAGTCAAAAAAGAAGCGACGAATTAGGCGGCATGATTATTCATCGACGGAAAGTGATTCAGATGAAGATTATAATCGGAATGATGGACGAACAAGGGGCATTGGTATAAATTTATTTCACGTCTTTTTTTATTAAATTTTCATTAAAAAAGGTTGCATTAAATAATTTAAACAGGGAAAATGATGAATAACTAGGGACAATGGAATATAAAATGTTTTTGAGTGTCCAAAGATTATATACATGCCAATTTTCAGGTAAACGGAAGCTGAAGGGACTTCAGGAACGTTTAAGGCAAACTGAAATGGCAATGGAGAAGATTTTGGAACAGTTGAATACAATTTCTGCTGAAGTAGCTGGCGCAACGAAGCAAAATTTGGCAGAGGAGACAGGAAATAAGGATTCACTGAATCAGTGTTCTGACCAACAAGATGGGAAAACAGAGCAATATTTGCGGGATCTTGAGGAGGTTTGCTTCCGTTTTTACTTATAAGAAAACTTTGGAACTACTTTTTGTTGCTAATTTAATCTGCAATCTGCAACGAACATCTTAAGCTTGTTGTAGTACTTTTTTGTCTGTTTAAGGGAACGCATCGCATTGATTGATTAGACAATACTTATGATTAGAATAATAGAAAAAAAATCCAGATTTATTATTTCATACGACTAACTCGTACTTTTTTGAAGGCATTACGCGATTTCAAGGAGCTGTCCAAAAGATACAAAAAAGAAGGCAATGATAGTAGCATCAGTGACACTGATCCATGCACTGATGAAGGTATACACGATGAAGCCACCATGGATACAACTGAGCAACGCAAACTTCAAGAACCTAGTTCTTCCAATGAACATCTAATAAAACGTGGAAAAAGTTAAGAATCTAATTTCCAAATACATCAACAACTTATGGACCCAATTTGTGGGAAAAAACGGCTTAGATAAGTTAAACATTCATACAGATTCCCTGTATGAAAGATCCAGCTATACCGTTTATTTTACTTTGTTGAAGATACGGATAGCTGATGCTTCACCCTACGTTCAGTATAGCTCATCAGTTATCGTAGTAATTACAAAACAGTAAAGTAATTTTTGAATTCATATCTATTATACCATTATTTGGTTCCCAGAAATATAACTAATGTTCACGGGAAGCTAACGAACATCGAATAGAGATATTCCGATCTCCCGCTCTTGGTTAGTTTCGTTCATACATTGTCGAGAACCAAATTTTTTATATCTATTTATTTTGTGAAACGTCAAATTGACATCAGAATAATTTTCTGAAATGCATATTGTATTGCAAAAAAAAGAACATTTTCAATCATTTGTAGTAAACGGTATATGCACAACACAATCAGTTTATTCCACATTCTACTCATGTCATGTAATCATGATCGTCTAAGTTACGCTTTTCAAAAGAAGCAGTATATGTCGCAATTTGATACTTTCAAATCAGTTCTTTGCTTCGAGAATAATACATAAAAATAGCAGTTTTGTTGAATTAAAATAAAATATCTCTCCGAAAACTTAAAGAGACCACTTTTACACATTCTCAAGAGAAAGTATCATAAATTTATAACGTACTGATTAAATTCTTCTGTACTATTCACAGATCGTGCTTATCATTTAACGTCATCTATTGAAACAGAATTTTAGAGGCATTCTAAAATGGAAAGAGGAGAGATGTAATACATATCAAATGCCCATTATGCATATTTTATATATTAGGAACAAAACAAGCCATTTCTATCACGACACAAATGCATCCTGGTAAGGGCAACCAACCAGAAAAAAAGCGGAACTATGTTTATACAGTAAACACCTAGAGTTACAATGCGAGAATAAATGATTAACCCGTTCTTTGAATGTTAAGTAGATCTGATGATATTTAAAGGGAAAGAGGAGAGATAGAAAGAGAGGAGAGGAGGGGAGCGTAATATTGTCGCAAAAAAACTTTTAACTTTTCCTCCAGCAATATTGGAAAATCACAATCATGTGCACCAACAATAATAATAATAGGAAAATAAGCTCCGTAAAATAGACGCAACACCTTTACGTATGTTGCGTCGTCGTCTTTGGTTTACGAAAATATCGAAAATGTACTATATAACATGTAGACTATTTCGATGTAACGGAGCAATCGAAATATCGGGAGGAAAAATGAGCAAAATTAGTGGGAGCACTGATCAATTTCAGTTCCAGAACGAATCCTAGGAGGAATTCAGTTTCGCGTACCTCATACCATTGTTAGCTTCCGTAGGCAAATTATCCGCCACTTCAAGATCAGCATTTTGCCATTCCGTAGCTGCAATTGGATCCGAATGTGCCAATCCTCGGATCTGCACTTCGGTTCCATAACCTGGATTTTCAAAAGCTACTGATGGGTCTCGGTCTGAAAGTGGTTGACTTCGATGAAGTTTCTGGATTACCCTTAACCAAGCGTTTGTCCGTATTGTATATACAACAAATGATGCTGCCGCAGCCACCAGAAATGTAAAGAAAAATGCCGAAATGAATGTATGACTTCGTGTTAGACCTAAATGTATTTATTAAGTTTAAATGTCACTTTATTAGTATTATCAGCAAGATGGCAAGTTTTCAGCTCACTACGTTTAGTTTTACTGGGATGAAAAACACATGAATGCTTAAGGCTATTACATAATTACCAATTCTGGTCCATCATTTTTTAAGTGAAGAAGATTTTTTTCAGCTTAATGAAGGCAAGAGTCACCAATTTAAAACTGATGAACTAAAAATTGACAATATAATGGATTTTACCGAAAGTATTGATGATTTTTGTTTCCAAAAATGGTGAATGGCCGAGAGCATTCGCAGAGACTAATGCAAGGTCGTAATTTGTATTAGGATCGAGGCCGTCTATAACAACTTCCGTGTTGCTAGTTTTCACAACTGTAAAGTTTCCATTGCTGTTTTCCTGACGGTAATAAATAGCATATACTTTATATGGGTCAGCTTCTGTTTCATTCCAGGATATCTAAAAATCTAACATTATCGTGATTCGGGAATAAAGTAGATCACAAAATGTGAATAGCGAGCGAAAGTTTCTTCATGTACACTGTAATGATAGGCCAGTATGGTACAATCTACGCTTCAGTGATAAATTAAAACAATGAAAGATCGGAAGGTGGGATTCACTTGGATGATTACTAAAATCTATTTCTTTCCATTAGAACTATCTACAATTCATGTTGAAGTGTAATTTTGAAGGTTAATTTGATTAAAAATTCATACAAAAGATAGAACTAACCTTGATTGAATCAGGGGAAACGTTTTCATAACGAAGTAATGTCGGAGGTGAGGGGGCCCGTTCATGTCCCCTAATCATGCAGGCTACAGCTCTTGGTGCAAATATTGAGCATAACGCATTGTTCGAAACTTTGTTACCGCTGCACATACCTAGGCAATCCGATGGAATGCGTGTCTTCATGCAGCATGCCCGATGATCACGACCGTCATTTGCACATCGTAGCAAGTCTACAATTTTTTCAAGTAAAATATTTGTTTAATCTTAAAACAACATTTCTACAAAAAAAAAAAATAAGGATCACTTCATTGAATCCACTGTCTTAGAAGAGAAGACGTGTGAAGATGTTCTTGAAATATGGTCTTCATTAAAAACCCCACAACAAATAATCAATTCACTTCATGGAAATAATTTTGAAGTTTTACAGCATCTGCGAAATAAATTAGAAGTTTATGAAGGAAGAGGAAAAAAAAAAACCTTCTGAAAAAGCCGAACAATCGCTATCAATTTCGGGGTTTACTGAACAAACACGCAAGCACTTTTCCGAAATCTTCGCTTCGACACAACACTGCAATACAATTCCTAATTTCATAACAATATTTCGCATTTGGATAAACAGTAAATTAAGAATTGTATTACAAATTGCAATCTTTATGATTTTTTTTTATGATACCTGTAATATGAAACGAGGTGTCAACGGTAAGGCAGCTTTAGCAATGTTCAATTCGGCACTTTTTGTAATCTCAGTACCATCTGCACCAACTGCTTTACAAGAGTATATTCCATTTCGACCTGTTACATTCTTTATCTAAAAGAATCAAAAGTGTCTTTTCAAAGAGACTAATAATGTTAACCAACAAAAAGACAAAGATTCAAACGAACCATATAATATTTACACCGAGATTAGAGTGAACATAGTTTATTCAGTGTTTATGATGAAATCAATAGAAAGAAAGCAACATTGAAAATAGAAACTCTAAATTTCTATATATGGAAAACTCCCGAAAACTATATCTTGCCTTTTCTTAACTCCAGCTGTATGTTATTTTATCAGGAAAAAAAAGAATGTTTCAAGAAAACATACAAGAAGTGTGTGCACATATTGATTTAAAGCTGTCGTCTTCACAAGAACCGGATCGTTTAGGCGTTCCGTACGAATAGCATTCGGTGATTTTTGATAATGCCACTCCAGCATGGGTTCTGGATAACCTTGTACGATGCACTGGATTTCAGCTGATAGGTCATCATAAGCATAGATCTGTTCTGTTACCATATTTACTATGGGCCCAACTGCAAATTTAAATAAAATTTGTGTGCATGTTTTTTTTCTATTAATTTCATAATTTCAGAAAATTTAAGAGAATGGTATGTAATATACATTATGTAAAATGATGCAAAATTGTAGAAAATGATTCCTTCACATTTGTTTAAAATTTCTTTCAAACATACAAAAAAATTTGGATATTTTAAAACATACATTGTACAAAAATATGCATTTGAGCACGATTCTGACGGCCATCAGTGTCCATAACCGTGCATGTTATCAGATTATTGTTTTCAGCTACATTTAAAAATGTTTCGACAGTCATTTTTGACGGTTCACTATGTATCTACAAAATTAAACGCATGGTTTAATTTGCTTCAAATATATCATGAGGATTTCAAATGATTGAATATTTAATAAACGATTTTAATTACTCAACTTTTTCCTCCTAAAAATTTTACACAGTTGGATGCTATTTAATTACAATAACTTAAGTTAACTTATTAGCTGTAGTAATATTTTTACAAAAATTCTAATTGTGCCTCAATTATGGCTAAGGATCCAATACAAAATCTTCCAGCATCATGGCATATACCTTTTAAACACCGACTGATGTGAAGAATTTGTTTAAGAAAGAAACAATATGCTAATTACCAATGTCTTCCCAATTAACAAATCCAAATTAAGTACTCGATCACTGTGAACGGTACATTTAACAGCAATTTGTTCATTCACACGATAGGTTCGATTAGCATTCTCCGGTGTAATTGTGATCTGCGGTTCCGGTAAGGAATATTCATCTAAATTTATTTTTGATATCGAGAGAATAGGAAAAAAACTTCACTTTGCGCCTAATTTGACAATTTAGAAAATTTTATTTCTAAATAGTAATTCCAATACTGTTATTTAGTTTGAACAACGCTCTTGATCAAAATGATATTATTAAGTGCGTGCATCCACCTAGATGCATTCTATCTTTGCTTCAAATTTTAGCAAAGTTGAATTCATTAACTATGTCGTCCAGTTTTAAAATATTGAAATTTCAAAACTTAATAGATATTCTACATAAATCATTAACACCTATTTCTAAGATAATCTTTTATGCATCGAGTAATCTTGGTGAGAATCATCCATCAAACTGTGGTTAAAATGAGGAAACAAGTAGACAGGAGGAGAATGTGCAATTTGAAAGCAAAATTAATACCGTAACATAAATGAAATGAAGATACCTGGAGCAGCAAGCACAGTTACAACTGATGAACTTCTGCTTTGCAAATTGCCATCACTCACATATACGTATACTTCATAAAGAGAATTCATCGTTAGATTTTCCATTACATGCCACATATTTTGTGTTTTAACCTGAAAATATGATAAGCGATAAAAAAATTAATCACAAAATTTCCACTTCTATTATTATAATCAAATTCTAATCGTTTTTTTTTTTTTCTTTTTTTAATTTAACAGGAAATCTCTATATAGTACACACATTTAATACCAATACCTAGAATAAAGATGCAGAAATGTGATTATGAAAGTAGTACCGAATTCCAAACAGATGCATTTCCAGTTGAGACATAATTAACTGTGTATGTTACAGGACCAGTAATCCTTTGTCCATTATAACGAACTGAACTCCAATTCCATGTTATATTTATACGTCGTCCATGATTCCACACAATATGCAACCCAAATGGCGGTACTGGTCTATCATTTTGTTCTGAAAAAAAAAAAAAAAAAAAAAATTGAAAACGTATCAATTTGTGAGAGAAAATATAGCAAAAAATTAATTACATTTTTTCAAATTTTCAAATCTTTACTTAAAAATGTCTTTGTTTATTTGAAAAAAGAAAAAATATGCTGATGTAAAACATTTCAAAACACTTACCGTTATCAGGTAGCGTTTCAAAAGAAATTTTGAACGATGGAGGACTCGAACCATGCTTATTAAATGCTGTCACAAAGGCTGTATAATTTGTACTTGGCTGCAGATCGTCAAAACGAGCAGAATTAGTTGTAACATTAATCTAAATGATGTAAGGAAAATTAAAGAAATACAAAATCTTTTAGGTTTTAACTCTTTTTTAAGGAATCTTTTAGCTTTATTCTTTTTTGCAGTGAAATATATTTCCGGAAAAATTGGTGTATTATCCTCAATCATTCACGTGCCAGCTATTTGGAGGATTAAATAAGATGCTTTACGACTAAAATCATGGGCTTCTTACGTGAAATACATATATGTCTCTGTCTGATATGCAACTATATCATTACTTGCATTTTTTGATCCAACAGTCTAGTGAATTTAAATGGTAGGATTGATCGACATTACATACAAGAAATATCATTATATTGTTTTTAAAATTACAACAAATTGAGGTTGTTGAAATCTAACCTGCCTGAATACACTGGTGCTCTTCTCGAGTGTTACTTGATAAACATCTGCAGGCCTTTGCAATGGTATATCCCATGAAAATATAACTGAAGACGAATTCCTAGAGGTCACTTCTAAATTTGCAACTGCACTAGGAAGATTTGTTGTGAGCCATGAAAAGCATTTAGCCAGCACTGGAGTATATTCTATACAACTTCTCTCAAAAGTGAATGGATGTCTGCATGCCGAAATGCATTCATCGGGTATACCTGCAAAACTCTTCATTGTATAAAGAAAAATGATTAGCGCAAAAATTATAAATCTAAGTTTGCTTTTAAAGAATCACCTGATTCTGCACAACATCTAGTATGATCATGTCCTTCAGAAGTACACTGAACCCATATATCACCATATTCCGAACACTCCAATGTCAGTGGGGTACTGTTAGAACACATAGATAAACAATTTGCTGGAACACCCCGTTGTTGACAGCAATCTTTTGCAAGATTGATTTTTAGGGCTAAAAATAAGCAACAATGTTAATCTTTTGTGTGCTGATTATTAGTTAAAAAAGGAACTTGAATAATGATCAATACAGTTCTCTACTATAAATAACATTTATAATATTATTTATGAGAGAGAACACAAACTGAGCTATGTACTTATTAAATATTTCTATGAATTGATATCACAATGTATCACTTCACAGGAACGTTTCAGAATTTCGTCATATGTTTTATACAATAGCAATTCCGCCGAATAAAAATGAATTCTTCTTAGTTTTTTAGAGATTTTTTTAGTTACTATACTAAGCTATGGAAAGATTTGCTAACGTTTCGAGCAGCAGAATGTGTCAGTTTCGGAAGTCCCAGCTACCACACAGTCATAATTAGGTGGACAGTCTCGTATGCCAGCACCACAATAATATCTGAAAGAGTTAGCATTCGCTAGAAAGATTCATTTTAAGATTACAAAAGCAAAAAAGCCAAGAATTAGGAAATACCTGTGTCCATTTGGATCATATAACGGTTCCCCATGTGGACAGAAGGATGATACCAAAGGATGTGTGAAGAAAACCTGAGCTGTTGACATCAAACTATCACCAGTAGTTCCATGACTTTGTAAATAGACTGTGTATTCAGTATCTGGTGTAAGGCCATACTCAGTATGCGGTGAAGTTACATTATGTACCTGTAACTCATAATTTGATTTGCGAATGATCTAGTTGACTGCTTTTTCAGCAACCTTCAAAATCATCCCACAGCACCTAGAACTACCATTATTTTCATTATCGCATATTCTAGTGGTGTAGGATTAACAGCTACTCATAGACATACAGTAGAAGTCATCGCTCTCTTCAATCCATCTGCTACTAGTCCACTGATTTTAGTGAAAAAGCAAATCAGTACACCTCTATGACATTTGGGCTGCGATCATCCTTTCTCAAAAAGAGTGAATACGAAACAACAAGATGAGCATTTACAGCTGGTTCAGTCCATTCAACTTCAGCAGAATTTTCTGTTACAGTTGTTACAGTTACATTCTGAGGTGGGGAAGGTCGGGTATCTGAAAAGTAACACACTTTAGATTCAAAATGGAAAATGAATTCGGAAAGTCCAAAAACTAATTTACATTAGTGTTAAAAACACATGGAAGCTTGAACCAAAATTCACACAGCAAATTTTCAGAATTAAAATTAGATGTTATGATAACATGTAGAATGCATACCGTAGCCTTGTCGTAAACACTGATAAATTGCAGCAATATCCAAATTGAGACACAATAATGAATGCATTGTCAAAGGTTCAGCAACCCCACCACATATTTTTAAACAGTCATGCTGTACACCCTTTTTAATACAACAATCCGTGTGATTACGTCCATCGGCAAGACACGGACTCACCTTCAATCATTAATCATACAAGAATTTGAATTTCAAAATGCACGTCTGTTTTTAGTATCTACGCGTTTATTTATGTCATGACAGCTTTTCCTGCACTTATAAAATTTTAAATATAAAGGAGTAAAATCGTCCTTCCCCAATTCTCTTGTGAATATTACCAAGATTGTGAAATCTTTTTAGTAGATAAGTTCAACCAGTATTGATCCATTTTATCTCGAATTAAGTTAATCACCCACATAAAGTTTCATATAAAGCTTTACCTAGAAAAATTAAAATATATTTATGGAGTGGGACTAGCCCTCCACCAAAAATTTCCCCGAATGTTTTATAATTTATAATTCAAGAATAACTTTTTGATATGAGAATTAAAAAAAAAAAAAAAAAAAAAACAAAACAAAACCTTAAGAAAAACCAAAACTAACTTTAGACCATTCAGTTCGACAAGATGTTGATATGGCAATCGTTTCAAGGGCGTTTGGAATAGTTCGTACATCGCACATTTTTGAAGCACAGTACGGTGATACTCCGTTCGATGAGCAACACTCTAGAAGGATTCTTGATGGAAAACGATGGACGATGACGTCCAAATATATATTTATACTATCTAATACAATAATAATTATCTATATTTAATAACACCTGTCTACATTTACTTATTTTCAAGTATCATGAAAGAAGTCCGTGATCTTGATAAATATAAGTCTTCAAGAAAAAAAAAGATGTTGGATAAGTTCATTTGGTAAATAATGAAAGTTTTCCTGAACAATCACAATAAAAACTTCAATTTTAAGATTGGAAGCAAAAAATGGCCTGAATTCTAGTTGAAAGATAATTGATACACTAAAAATTAATGATGTGAAAGAATAAAATACTGTTGAACACTAGCAAAAGGGAAAAGTTTGATTGAAAATGAAGCTATTAACAATGACAAAACAGCGGTAATCTCAAGTGCAATATGCACAGCATGTATTTATGCTAACACTTCATTCTTTTAATCGGTATCCTAAAAAGAAACACTTTATAAGCGTGCCTTCATTTTTCTACAATGCTACCACAACAATACGAAAAGTGGAGTAAAAAAAAAAAAAAAAAGGTACTGACTCCTAAGGTATTACGTTTTGAACAAAAATATCTTCAGTGTAAGTCAATTAAAATTGTTGTAAATATAGATGGTCAACTATGGAAGCATGCAAAACTGGTGTTTAAAATATTTTGAAAATCGCCAACTGCATTACATTTATAATTAATTTTTACTCAGTATGACATTCTGTTTAAACATAAACTGTTACGACTAGTACCATTTTCATCAAAATGATGATTTTATTTATTCTTAAACTTCAAGCTAATTGCAAAATTAAATAATTAAGCGTGAAAAATGCTAGCAAAGCTAGCTTATGATGATTTATTTTTTTTTTTACATGCATTTTATGCTTTGCAATAATGCTAATGTGTACAAAGGTAAAAAGATGTCGACGGTTATAAGCTAATGTTAGCGTCGACGCAAAAGTTTTCCAAACGGGAAAAAAGCAAAAGATTAGTGTAAATTTGTAGCATGCAACAGCAGAACAAGGGAATTTTCTTGAAAGTAAGATTTTCTACTCAAATGCAACTAAACTTTCAAATATTGAAGTTTTCACTTGAAACAAAACGAAAATTCCATAGCTTAATCAGAAAAAAATAAACTTCGATCTAACGTGAATTATTGAATACCTGTGGTAAATGGAATATTTTTTTCCTCTTTTTTTCTTTTATCACGGAACAATTATTTCTGGTTTCCTCCCAGTACTGAATTCCTTATAAAGAGGATAAGTTATTTTGGTGTTTGAGAGCGGAAGTCTTTTTCGACCTTCAACAATACTTCTAAGTGACGTAGTCAGTGGTACTACAAAAATTTGAACAAACGAGTAAGGAATACGCTCGATCTGCGGTAGTGTTGAATTGATTGGTGTGACAATCGCATTTGTCGCAGCCAAAGCTCGTGATGACGGTACTGACATGCCATATTCATTCGATGCTGTTACATAGACTATGTAACGTGTTGCTGAGCGTAAATCTTTTAATGTAACACACGTGTCCGTCGTATTTACCTATAATTTCATGCTTTCATTTCTGTTAAATATTATATGTTTTTTCATATTTACTCTGTTTTAGTGGATTTTTACGACAAATGACTCACATGTTTGTCAATAAAGGTATTCATTTTTGATATAATTTCTTTTCTTGTATAGGAAATTATGATTACAGAAATTAGCACTTAAGCTATTCTTCCATTACTTCATCAAACTTGAATTCGCGAACGGTTGAATCGTTTGTAGATGAATCATGTGTCACAAAAAGCCATGTCTGTCGTTTCCCACGTTTCAAGGATCCAACGTCAGATGGTGTAATATCGCCAGCGATATCATCCTCAGCCATTCCACCTGGGATGCTTTCTTCGTAATCACCCGATAAAAGAGGTATTCCACTGCAACAATTGTAAAGTATAATTAATGGAAAGTGACAAAACTTCCGTATATTATCTTATCAAAAATTGAGGATATGATACAATATTTGATTTTCGATATATTGAAGATTTCCAAGTAATCGCAATGTTGCTCATGAGGAGTTAATTAAATGCTAAAAAGAAAAGAAATGAAAGGAATATTAAATAGAGGGAACGATGAAAGGGAAAAATTTGCAGAAATCATGGGCTACATTTTTGAAGAGCCAAGGAACAATTTAAGCTAAGCAATGAAGCAAGTAATTAAATACAGATAGACAGGTAGACATCAAGTAAAATGATAAACCTAACGTGAAAAACTTACTCATCTCCTCCCAAGAATGGAAATGATGGTATTTGCTTATAATACACAGTATAATGATCAATTCCAAGATGTTTGTTCGATGTTTGAGGTTGTGGTGGACGCCAGCACACACGCAACTCATCTGATCGAATCGCATTAACAGTTAAATCCTGTGGATGCTCAGGAAACGGCACTAAAAAATATACAATTTATAGAATAAAGTTCTAAAATAAAAGGAAAATAGACCCAAAAATTAGGTCCATTGTGACGAAAACTCACAGTACGCGCGATTATAACATTCAAATATTTCCGGGAGATAATATAAGCATAATCGATGAGATTTGCGTAACATTTGGAAATTTCCGGAACAAAAATCGTAGCAAAACGAAGGCACCAGCTGTGTTTTACAGCACTGTACATGACTTCTGTTACCACCTTCTGTAGCACATGATAAGAAATTTTTATAATCGTCCGTTTTGCAACTGAAATACAAATCTTTTTTCTTTCACAAACTTTTTCTTTTTCGAAATAAACTTTAAAATATCACGAAGATATCATTAACAGTTGTTTACCTTGTTGGGTCGAAATGATGAATGTGCATGTCTCTTGGCTTACACATTGCCTGACATAACGGTGAAATTCCTTTTTCTGCACAGCATTTACTGTAATCGTAACTGATATTTTCATGAAACCCGCCTTTTAATCCACTCTCTGAAATTTCTCTTCCTTTCAGCAAATAATTTGATGCTATGCCAAAGTTTGAACTTCAAAAAATAAAAGCAGCAAATCATAAAAGTGGAAAAAATGTTGATGTAATAATGACATATGCATTATTATGACTATGCATATAATTTTCAAAGGTTGACAATATCTAACTATATTTTCGACTTTTCACTGAAGGTTTTTTTGAAGATTTTACATTATTATCATCATTATCAATATGAAAATTTGTTGAATTTCCCGAAAGACATTCTCTTATCATCTAAACACTATGACATTAAAAGTATACCGAGAACTTCCAGTTGAAATTCTAGCTGCTGAGGCTGATTCGATATTTGACATCGATAACGACCTGCATCTTCAAATGTAAGATTTTTCAAAACAAGAGTAAAATCTTCCGATGCACACTGACAACATTTATTGTCCATACAATGTGACCCGTCAGAGCAAGCGTCGGTATCTGAACAACTACCCGTACATTCTGAAAATTGCACCAATTATTTCGGGTAAAAATTTTGTTTTTATAGCACATTTTGAAATTCTTACCTTGTTCAGTCTGTTTTTGCAAATTTCAAAAACAATGTAATATACCAGTTAATGTATCTCAAACAATTAGTTAATATTTGCTAACTTATGAATTGATGATCTCAGTTACTTTTTGTATTAACCATAATTTCTACAACATCGAGGAAGTACTCCTTCCAAACTTTTAATTTCAGTTCCTGATTTCATTTAATTCAAAGTTTTTTTCTGATTTCTATGTTCTGAATTATATCCTAAATCATCTCTGCATTTTTGCACTTATGTAACACGCGTATAGCTTACATTAATATTTTGAATCACGATTTTAAATTTTATTACGCCTTTTATCATCAGATGAGATTTGTTTTGAAAGCATGCACCATTATCATGCACCTCCTACTATGATGCAGTGCTTTTGGTTCAACAAATTAGAATATTTAAAATTTTTTCTATTTCATCTCAAAAACTGATTAGTTAATTAGACCACTTAGATATCTACCTTTATCCTTATCAGTTTCAATATTATGTTGTAGCAAAACAGAATTGGCGTCCACACCGGAATTATCCAAAAATTTTGTTGAATTAAATATTGGCACATCATCTTTCAACCAAATTACCTGCAATAATGAAATATCTTCTATCATTCACGAATATCTGAGTGTTTGTTGTGTGTAAATTTTCTCTCCTAAGAAATATCTTTTCCTAAATTAGTAATTTTTTTAAATCAAAAAAAAAAAAAAACTTTTTTAAGAAAATCCAAAAAAAGAAAAATCAATTAAAAAATTTTGAAACTTACAGTAGAAGCATGTCGAACACAAGTATTAAGCATGCATTCAAGACGTGCAGCAAAACCTTGTATAACAGTCATATATCCCTCATCAGATGTCGTTAGATGTAGCTCCTTCGTTTCGCATCTTAACACTATGCAATATAGCAGAACTAGTAATAACTGTACCATCTAAAATTCATTCATTATATTATTTTTATAATTAATATTTGGCATATATAAATCAAACTTAAAAATGATAGCATTATTTTCGATCGGATTGTTATTTTTCTATTCGATAAAGTTAAAATTGTTATAGCAAATCTACATTAATGGTTTTTGCATTGTTAAAGTAATTTCTCATTTAAAATTATCTACTGAAATATTCTAGAAATGATAAATAGAAATTTAAGAAAAGTACAGTAATGATTAACGATAATATCAGTAGTTTTAGGACCTAAAAAGTTAGGTCACTTATAAAACATTCGGTACACAACATTCACAGATCACATGACTCTTTATTTCTCAATCATAGATCACCACCAAACCAAAAGTCACGCAACAATTTTTTTTTCACAAGTCTTAAGTAACGCTGATAAAATAATTTTTCTTCACCAGATACAGGTAAACTAATTAAGATTTAAAATATTTTACATTGATAGGGTAGGAAATTTAAAATAATAATAACTGTAAGTAAAAATTAAATTTAAATAAGAAAATCATAAAATTTTATACAATTTAAAATTGAAATAAAGTCTAAAACTTTAACCTAATCAAGAAATAATAAACAAGAATATTTTCTCCAAAATTTGTCCTAATTCATAAGCAAACAACAACAATTATAATTGTAATTCTTTCTATATGTCAAAACTAATTACACTAAATTTGACAACAACATTGATAGAAGTGTGCAGTTGATTTTTGCGCCCATATTAAATTTAAGTCACACAGTGTCATTCACAAAATGACCTATATTACATATTTTTTTTCTCTTTTTCTCTTTTACTAAAGCCTTCTCTACCGCTCAAATACTTTTTTCCCAAACAATTATCAATTTATTTATTTTTTTTTATTGCATTAAATTCTGGAAAACAAAGTAATAACTCTAAAGACAAATTTAGTCAGTTACATAACAAATTCGAATGAATATTTCTTTTCCTTTCTTTTCGCGTTTTTCGATTTAAAATGAAATAAATAATCAATTAATTTGACTAATAAAATTGTTGAAATTATTATAGAACATTTTAATAAGGAAACTTAAAATAATTTTTATTTTCCTTATTTGTAATTGTTGTTGTAATCATGAACAATCAATTAATTGTATTCTGGAAGAAATAATAAGTGACGGATATTAGATAAAATACATGGTATAATGGAGAATTATGTATGACTATTAGTTTATGCTATTGTAAAACTGTATCAGTCTTTAAAATTCTGAAAATACAGGAAAACAAATAAACAAATATATTAAAAAAGAGAAAAACAAGAGAGAAAATGAAAAACAGAACATTATAAATTGAAATTACAATTGTTTAAATTCATAGAACTTTTCTTAATTTGATTTTGCCTTTAAAAAAAGAACATTAATGAAATTCCAACAAAAAATTTGCTGGAATTTCGAATTTAATTTTAGGAAAAAAGAAATTAAAAAAAAACATCAGTTATGTAATGTTAATTAAGAAAAAAGAGAAAGAAAAATGAAGGAAAAGACAAACCAATGAAAGAGAAAAAAAGTAAGACAAGCAGCTATTTTGTCACAATATAACTAAAATTACTAAACAATCAAATGAAACTTTTGCAATGAGGACGAAGAACTAATTATAAATCATTTTTTCCTGTTTTCACTCCTAAAATAAAATTAAATGCTGCAAAGAATTTAGAAAAGTAAGAAAAAAATAAAGTTGAAAAAAAAAGACTTATCTTTTCATGTATTTTTTTCCTTTTTCCTTTTCATTCCAATTAAATTTATAATGATTTCTTTTTTTAAAAAAAAATCTTTATTTCTTTATTACTACAGTTAATTATTCAACTACAATGTAAAATGTAACATTTAAATGTATGCTTGTTCTCATTTATATAAAATTTTTTACATTGCTAATTCTTATAGAAAGAATAAGACAACAGGAGTAAAATAAGTATATGAGATAAGGGAGAAAATATTAATGAGAAAAGTAAACTGAACATAAAACTAGAGGATGGGAACGGAGGAATCAGAAAAGGGAGGACAAAGGGAAGGTATGTGACAAAGTAGACATATCCTAAAATTAGCCCGGTAAATTGAGGTTGCATGAGGACAAGGAACTGTACATCTATATATAGATGTCTGTATGTATTTATGTATACATGTATGTATCTGTATGTGTGTATTTATGTATACACGTATGTATGTGTGCGTGTGTAATCCATTAATATTATGAAACGCAACAATGACAAATCCGTTCGAACTGATGTCACACGTTCGGCGATTTACATAGATCCTTTTTTTTTTGTAATTTTAATTCTGTAAAGCATTCCTCTTCCTTTGATCTCTATTCATCGTCTCTTATCCTGGACAATGCTATCTTTACAAAATAGAGAGAGAGGGAGGGAGAGAGAGAGAGAATTGGTTAAAATTAATAGCCATACACTCAATCATTCGTTTTCGCTTAGAATTTCGACGTAAACTTTTTTGATTACTTGGAGCATTGTTCAATTTAACTAATTGGTTTAAGCGCGAGTATTTTTAAATAATTCCCTAGTAATTTATGCAAGTATTAATGAAGTGAAAGAAATCTTGTAAAAAAATTTGAAAATTATTTTAAAATACTGAAGAAATATCTGAATTTATGCTTAAAAAATTGCTGTATAAATTCTTTTTCAATTTGTTGACTAATAAAACAAAGAATAGAAAAATGGTATAATATAAATTCAACAATTGTGCAAAATTTTGAAATGTCTCCAGTTAAGAGAATAGATGTTTGAAATTTCGAAAATTTAATTTAAGGAATTTACAACTTAATCAGTCCATTTTATGGATCAAAACTTTTGATGCAGTATGAAATACCACTAATTGATGAGTAGGTATTTATGAGATGTCAATAATGTGTTTGTCACCGAGAAATTTCCTGTAAATCTATTCAACAAATCTCATATTTCAAATGAAAAAGCAAAAAAACGTGGAAATTAAAAAGGGAGAGAGAAAAAGGGAAAAAAGCTTCATATTATCATTTGAAGAAAAAATAAACTGAACTGGTAACACTTGGAGCAATAGCAGAATAATTCTCGAGAATATAATGAGTGAATTTTGAAAATATGGTAAAATGATTCTCGAAATCAAAATACGGCACGCGTCACTATTAAAATATAAATCGTCGTCGACATCAATTCGATAAAGGCATTATTTGTTTTGTATAAATGTGGCATACGATGAGCATATTTAAATAATTGCAAAAAAAGCAATAAGAGAGGCAGATAGAAAACTTTTTGACTTTGATGTTGACTATTCAGATACTCATCGATTAAGACAAGGTTAGTGTTACTTAGCAACCAGGAGGGGAAAAAAAAGAAAGAAAGACATCCTTTGAAATTTATGTCCGTATTGCTTCTCGAGAAGAAACAACAATAGTAAAGCAATATACAAAAAGGAATTGAAATGTTTTTAAAATGCTTTTGAAAAAATCCAAATGAAAAGATCAAATCATTAGTTGAAAATTTCCATTAAGTTAACAAAACGTCTGGGAATGACCGATTATTAGCAAATTTGAATATTTCATTTCATTAAAGTTGAAAAATTTATCATTTACCCATTTCCACCAGTTGTTAAATCATTATTTTCTAATTTGTAACTTTCACTAACAAAATAAACAAATTAATGCAAGCCAATTTGATGCAGCAAGATAAGATGTAAGGACTGTGATATGCAGTAAGAAAAATGACACGAGGAGGAAGAAGAGGAGGTTGAAACAGCGAGTACAACGGATAAAGATATTATCAATGATGCTAAATGCTAAGCAGTGGTTTTGCAGGTGTTGCGCTAACTTTTCTTTTAATAATTCATTCATTCATTTTGTAAATAAATAATAGCGAAATAATGATTAGATAACAGTAATTAATCATAATATTTTGTTACTTTTACTTATTAAATGCTGAACAATTAAACATTATCTATATATAGGTTGTTGTCTTAAGCGTAACGTATATTACTACGAATAAATGATGTCTTTTAATTGTAATTAAAATAAATGACGTGCACTTCATATTCATTCTCTTCGAAATTTTCGAGACAAATTTTTGCTCTTTTCCCCACTTTTCTTTATGAAGTAAATAAATTTCGAAATGTTTCATTTTGCATATTTAATGAAGAAACTAAATAAACATAACGAATAATTTTTATTAATTTTATTTCCTAAATTGAAATTTTAGAAAGAACGATTTTCTTTATGAATGAGTTTTTTTTTCGATTTTTAATTAACTTTAACTTTTAAGTAAAAACTTCAAGATCTTTTAATTCTTAACTTTTTTAAACAATAACTCTTCATGACAATAAATCCTCATTTTGAGTACAATTTTTTCCCAATTCTCTCTCGTTTTTCTAATAATTAGTCCAACAGTCTTTTTTCAATCTTTAAACATTTGATTGTTTCATTAAAAAGAAAAAAAAAACTCTCAGGAGAAAATTTGCGAATGATTATGTAAACATAACTATGAACACATAACCTAGTAGTAGTAGTAGGTAATTAATAATAATAATAACTATACTAACAATAGTAATAACAATAATAATAATAATAATTTAATAGTCCTTTTCACCTTCCTCTCTATGTCACATTTCCCTCTTATTTCAAATTCATACCAGCCAGAATGTTACACAATTTATTGACACTATCAAAATTTTAAATTTCAATATATCTAAAGTATCAAAATTCCCCTACACAATTCCTTCCTTCACATTCATTCATTTCAATCAGTAATTAATGTCTTTTCTTCATTCTTTTTATCCAATAATTTACATTTTTCAAAAAACAAATTCATCAATGTCACCAAGTTTTTATTACAAATCGATATTTTTATGCATTAAAGAAGAATATGATGATGAAAATTTCAAATTTGATATAATAAATTAAATAAAAATTATTTTAGGAAAAGGTGAGGAGGAAAGAGAGGGAGAAAAAAGAAAAGGAAAGAGAAAAAAAGGAGTTGCAATGTGATTGAAA